TAAAGGTTTACAGCCTCGGAAACCCTGCACAAGTTGCTCTGAGTCGGAACCGACTCCACAGCACATAACAACAACAACAACAATCTGGAAAAGAGAAAAATTACTCAATGGGGATTCTACGCTGCCCACCTCTCTCTGAAACTAAACATACTCATGAAAGCGTGTAAGTCAGCCACTTCATGCCTTTATAGACCCCCACTTTTGATAGACAATGTCCAAGGTGCCCATCCCTATCAATCCAGAACACTGAGGAAACAAGCTTGTTCCTTGACATGAAGAATCCATTTCAGTTGGAATTTTGAGCAACTGCATCCATAAGCAAAAGTCCAGTTCATCAAATTATAGCAATTCTCATTTGCTCACTATACCAAATGTTCTTGGCTAAGTGCCTTTCCAGTCAGTTCCGACTCATAACTGTCCTGTATAGGGTTTCCATGGAGCGATTGGTGGGTTTGAACCACTGACCTCAAAGTTCAAGCTTACCTTGCAGTTCAGTGCTTTATCCTACAGTGCCACACCAGCACTTCATGTACTATATACTGTTTATTTTCAAGGTGGTGCCCTTTCAGAAGCAGATCAACAGGCCTGTCCTCTGAGACACCTCTAGGTGGGTTTGACCCACCAACATTTCTGCTAGTAGTATAGCACTCAACTGCTTACACTCAAGAACTCATGATATTATATGTTAGTCATAATAGTACTTGGGTTGTTGTTCATGTTAAATGCCGTGGAATTGATTCCAAGCTATAGAGAACCTGTATAGGGTTTTCAAGGAGCAGATGGTGAGCTTCAACTGCTGAACTTGTGATTCAAACTGCCTTTGCAGTCCAGTGCATTAGTCCACAGTACCTCACTAGGACTTCAGCATTTGGGATAGTACCCTGTAAGCAAAATACATTCATGTTTCTATAACAAAACAAATATTTTGCCCTAAGTGGATTAAAGAAAACTACAACAATATAAAGAGAAATGTCAAATCAGGTTGGTTTGTTTGTTACTAAATAAATTGCAAATAACAACAACAATATTTGATTTAGAATTGAGACTAAGGGATGGTAGGTCTTGCTGTAGGATCAACACTGAACTGTGAATGACAGGTCGGCTATTCAAACCCAACAGCTGCTCCTTGGAAACCCTATACAGGGTTGCTATGAGTCGGAACCAAGTCAATGGCACTTAACAATATTTTAAAAGAGGTTGTTGTTGCTGTTAGGTTTCATTGAGTTGGTTCCGACTCAGAGTGACCCTATGTATTACAAAACACTGTTTGATCATCCTCAGAATCAATACTTTCCTCCCACACCATAACTCAAATGCACCAATTCTTCTACGGTCTGCTTAGTCACTATCCAACTTTCACATGCATATGCTGTTGTTGTTAGGCGCCAATGAGTTGGTACCAACACATAGCGACCCTATCTATGCACAATAGAACGAAACACTGCCCGGTCCTGAGCTAAACTCACAATTGCTGCCACGCTTGAGCTCACTGATGCTGCCACTTTGCCAATCCATCTCGCTGGGAGTCTTCCTCTTTTTCTCTGACCCTCCACCTTACCAAACTTGATATCCTTCTCCAGTGACTGGTCCCTCCTGACAATATGTCTGAAATAAGAGAGACAAAGTCTGGTCATCCTGGCCTCCAAGGAGCACTCTGGCTGTCTTTGTCCAACAAAAATCTGTTTGTTCTTTTGGCAGCCCACGACACTTTCAATATTCTCCTCCAACACCATAACTCAAATGAATCAGTTCTTCT